AATAAAATTGTAACATGGTTCTTTAAAAAAGAACTACTTTTGATTTTGCGAAAAATATGATATCATGATTAATTCTTTTGCTTAGATGCAATTTAGTACATATATATTAGCGAGGACGAGGAGACAGTGGTCCGCATGAAGTGTGTTAATTTCATATAGTATTTTAATCTATTTTCATTTAACTCTTTTTTGTTTCTCTTGTAGTAATTTTATTGTATTGGACAAGCTTTTTGTTTTCCTTTTTTTTATTTTGCTTTTGGCACGCGTAATAGTGGTCATGTATTTTCATGTAGATAATAGTGCTTAATTGAGATAATAGTGCACCTTTTAGTTTTTACTGGTCATGTAGATAATAGTGCTTAATTGAGGGGAATATTCTCTTTCTGGTGCGTAGAAGGGCTTTGATATACTACTAACCTAACCTTGGAGAAAACTGAAAAAGGAGTATTTTAGTTAGATTAGAGGCCAACTGTGTTGTAGAAAACAAAAGAAAGAAAAGAAGAAAGAAGGGAAAGAGAAAAATAAATAAGAAAAATAGTGACAAAAATTGCAATTNATAACGGAAGACAGTAAATTTCTTTTAACTTCTTCCAAGTAACTGTTAATCATCTCTGTTTTATCTCCTTCTTGAAAGGAGATTCTTCTGGCAATATGTCTCATCGAACTGTCATCAATTACCTCTTTTTGAGGTTTGTTGGAATATTCTTGGATCTTCATCTCGATTGAATCCAAGAGCTCTTGACCGTATAAGGTCTTTGATTTGGGATCCTTCTTCATTAATTTGTCCCAAAAATTATTGTAAAAAGTCCTGTATAAGCAGGGGACTTGTTCTTCAGTGAATCCTACCTCTGGATTCCATTTATGTATCCAAGGGATAGAAAATTCCAGAAAGAAATATATTTGGTTAATTTTTTCTGGGTAGCAGATATGATCTGCGTGATATAAATCGTTAATAAAAGGAGAAATTTTTATCCATTCTTTGTATAACATGAGAAATGGATCTGGTAAAATCTTTATTGTTGGACCGTGGTATGACCACCAGTTTAGAAACCAATTAGGAACAGTTGTTGCAAATATCTTTGCACATACTTTTATAAACCAAGTATGTTTGTGTCTATCATTATTGTAGTATAATACTTTATCAAAAGCTTGGATATAATCCCAATAAGTAAAATTTATTTTTACTTTGTTAAGGCTTATCTGCCTTTCTTTCATTGTGGATATACCCCAGTCTTCAACAGATATAATCTGTTTAATTATAATCTTCGAGAAGTTATAAACGTTCTCGTCTGTGCTATATCCAGAAAAGTGCTGAAAATCTGCACTGCCAGTACTGGTTAGTATCGTCTCATAGTAGGAACGGGTTTTGTATGACTCACCCGGATAATATAACCCATTTATCAAGTACCTTTGGAATATTTTCCATGGTTCTTCTTTTCTCTAAATGTCAGAATTTTCTAAGAGAAATATCATTTCTCTTTTTGGTACTTTTTCGTATGACTTGATATCATCATTGTCATCTTTAGTAATGGAAGCAAAAGTATCACTTTGCTTAACAGAAGTATTTTTCTGTTTCTGAGCAGTCAAATATACCTGCAAATATGCGTATAACGGGCTATCTTCTGGAATATCTTCCAGGTGGACGGATGGTCCAATTGATGATTCTTCTCTGAGAGATATCCTCTCATTGACTAAACTCCTTCTTCCCATTTGTATAACTGGGGAGTTTGATGAGGATCCGTATGACGATCCTGAAGGTGATGACCTTCTTTTGATTGTGGGGATGATCTTCCCCAACCTCTACCTCTTCCCCTACCCCAGGGGGGTTCCATCCTATAAATATTCACGAGATAAGAAATCTGGCAGAGAATTTCAATTCCCTTTTTATATTGTATTTCGAAATCAAAAGGGGCTAATTGAGCCTGCCATCTTGCAAATATCATTTTTGAGGCATCATGTTTAAAATCTTTATTAAACATATATTTAACAGATTGTGCGTCAGTTTTTATCAAAAACTTTTGATTGTATAAGTCGTCCTGAAATTTTAAAACACATTTTACTATGGTTAACATTTCATGTGCCACAGTAGCGTATTTTTTCTGGGCTTCAGACCATTTACCAGAATAAAATCTAATCAGATATTCATGTTTATCATTGGGATTTATCTGTTTCAAAATCACTCCATAACAAATATTAGACGCATCAGTCTCTATAATCTTTTGCCATGCAGGATTAGCAAGGGTTAAGCAAGGTAAAGATTTAACATGTTGCTTAATATTTTTTACCAAAGTAGTGCGACTATCAGTCCAAGCATTTTTATAATTCTTTTTTAGCCTATCATATAAGGGGGCTAAATCACGTGACAGATCTTTATAGAAAGGTGAAATATAATTTAAACTTCCCAAAAATCTTTGTAACTGAGTTCTATCAGTAATAACATCGGGAAATTTTGAGGCAAAATCAATCGATCGTTGAATAGGAGTAATTTTTCCCTGACATATATAATGCCCTAGGAATCGAATGTTAGTTTGAAATAAACTCATTTTTTGTTTTGAGATTACCAAACCATTTTGTATAACAATTCTTTTGAAAATATCTAAATGCTTAATATGCATTTCAAGTGTTTTGGAAAATACCAAAATGTCATCGATATATACAATGACGAAGTCTAGATAAGGGTTGAAAATATCATTCATAATTTTTTGGAATTCTGAAGGGGCATTTTTTAAACCAAAAGGCATAACATTCCATTCATATTGCCCAAATGGAACATTAAAAGCAGTTCTATAAGTATGCTCTTTAAATATTTGAATCTGCCAATAACCAGATTTTAAATCAAATTTTGAAAATATATTGGCGTCATATAATCTAGACAATAAATCTCTTTTATTAGGAATAGGATACCTAACCCATTTCAAATATTTATTCAAGGGCTTATAATTAATGACTAATCTAGGAACACCACGTTCCTTTTCAGCTGCGTTATTAACATAAAAAGCTGTACAAGACCAAGGAGATTTTGAGGGTTTTATCAAACCCTTTGATAGCAGACTATCAATCTCTTTTTTGCAAAATTCCACCAATTCTGCATTCATCTGACAAGGTCGAGATTTAGTAGGAATATCATCCTCAGTGAAATTATCTTCATATGGAAGAGTAACAATATGCTTTTTTCGATTCCAAAAAGCACTAGGATGCTCAGCACAAATATCAATAGCAATCTGCTCGGAAATCAATTTGATTTTTTTCTGTATTTTAGTAGAATTCAAAGTATCAAATATATTCATACTAAACAGTTCTAATTGTAAAGAATCAACATGTTTTTGCTTCATATCAATTAAAGCATTAATATCTCTAGTTACTGGATCTGTAACAAAAGTATAACTTATCTCTTTATCCTTATAAGTAGCAGTAAAACCTTTCGAGTCTATGCTAGTAAAAGGATAAACGGCGTTAATAAACGGTGTTCCAAGTATAATTGGAGGGTATAACTGGTTTTTTACCAAGAAAAAGAAGTGAGGAATACAGACTTTATTCTGACAAATACCCGTATTAGGAAGTTTATACTTTATATCTAAAGCATGTCCGGATGCAGATCTAACCATATGAGTAGTTTTTTGAAAATATTTCGTAGGTACTAAACCTTCTTGAATGCAGCTAACATCTGCTCCACTATCAATCATAGCAATGTTTGTGATAGAGAAATCATTATCAATGAGAATAGTACATTTAATATACCATTTATGAGCAGTAATAATTTACATCATTCCTAAAAACATATCATGTTTAGGATTAAAACTAATAGGTTTTTCTTCAATATCATTTTCAAAAATACCTTTGTTTTTATCATTAGATTTCTCGGCTGGAGAATTGATTTTCTCAATCTGAGTAATCCTATGATCACAAATCATTTGATTTTGTTTAAGATATTTAATCTCTCGTTTCAAGTTTTCAACTTCAATTTTTAAATCATCGAAAGAAGAATCTCTTGCTGGAGTTGCATTTTTGTTCAAAAGACGGTTATTAACCTCTAGTAAATAATAAGGTGGAGAATATTCAAATTCTTTTTCAAAAGGTTTTGCAAATTTAGAACTTGAATTAGAACTTGAACTAGCAGCCAAATTAATAATTTTTTCACGAAGTTTTTCATCATTAACTTCTTTTAAAAGTTCTATTACATTATCAGAAGTAATAGTTTTCATGTTTAGGTCTTGAAACTGTGATTGTAATTTATAAAATTCATCATCACAAGTACATGTATCACCTTTGCAAGTTGTACAAGTATTATCAATATTTTTATCACTATCAGATAAATCAAGCAAATCAATTTCAGCTTCGGATTCTGATTCAGAATAATAATCAGATTCCGATCCAGAAGTATATAACAAACTATAAACCTTATCACGTAGTTCATCTTCTAGTCCTAAGGTTTTCAGCTTTTGAAGCTTATAATTAGGAGCTATATGGCCAAATTTACCACACTTATAACACTTAATGTCAGCAAGATCTCGCTTAGACCTATTTTTGGTAAATCTAGTAGACTTGCGATATGCTCTCTTGGCTTCTCGTTCTTCTTTAGATCTATATCTAGATCTCTTTCTCCTATAAGGACTGTCTTGGTTGGGGTATCTATGATACTTATGTTTCTTCTTCCTATGAGTAGAAGTCTCGGGTAAACCGAACTGGGTGCAAAAGTCTCCTAATTGGTTTCTTTCCTTAAGCTTATCCATTTTAAGCTGTCTGGACAATCTTAATTCATTGCACAGGTTTAACCCTTCTTGTGTGCAAATTCCTATCAACTCACCATAGGTATAGTCTCTATATGGAATTTTACCATAATTACCTCTTAAAATTTTTCTAACTCTTTCAGCAAATAAAGAAGGAAGGCCATCTATAAACTTAGCTTTCCAATGTTCAAGCTTATTTTCTGGTAGTTCCATCACTCTACTCATAAAAGTGTCTTTATACCATCTAAACTCACTTAAAGTCTTACATCTAAGGCTATTAAGGAGAGTACGAACAGTCTCGTTCTGGTTGGTAAATCTACCATTAAAGTGTTCTAATATAGTAAGAATAAGGGTATAAACGGCATCTTCCCTATTTGCCACTAGGGCCATGCCTAAGTTATCAACTCCTTCGTCAGTGGCTTGAGCATTAATAACCATTGCTCTTTCTTCTATAGTCAAATAATTGTCCCACCAGCCACGCAGTTGGCCAGTAAAACCTGCAACAATCATTCTGCAAATATTCCTATCTGTATTTTTTACGCTTTTACAGATAGTTGCATACATAAGCATTCTATGTACCGGAATAGTTAATTGCCTATCAGTCAAACCATCAAGATTCCATTCATAGATTTCGGAACCACTATAAGACGTATTAGTCTGATTCCAATCACGTTCCTCTATTAAAACATCTTGAGGAGTAGGACGATTGTAATAATAAGTCTCCATTCTAGGTTTATCAGCATATCTGCTATCTGCAAACTTACTATTCTTTTTGGGGTAACTACGGAGTTTATTAAACTTTGACAAAACATCCTTTTTATAGTCAAAAGTAGAATCTAATTTATCATCAAAATCATTTGATAAATCAATGGGTTTGATATTCAAACCGGATAACTTTTTATCAAGAAGTTCTTCTAAGTCACCAAAAGATTTAAATTTAAAATCCTGAATATCAGGGGGTCTTTGAATATGAGTAACAACAATTTGAGGTTCTGATTTGCTTCCTGAAGAAGAGGCAATATCAGTCAAAGTCTTTTTAGTACTCATATCCTTAATTAAGACTGTTAAATCATCAAGTTGTTTTTATTAAGAAAACTAATATTTTCACCCAAAACTTTAACATATAAACTCAAATAATTATTTTGAGAAATTAATTTATTAATTTCTGCGATACTGACTGCAGCAACATCTTCATCAATAAATTTTTGAAATGCAGTAAAAGTAATACCTGTATTATTAGGTAAAACAAAAGGCGTTTGAGGAGGGTAAATGGCTTTAGTAATATTGCCACTCCCGTCTTTATAAGATCTTTCCAAAACTTTTATAAAAAGTGGTAAATATGTGGTTATAAACCAAGGAACAAAATACATAATTTGATTATGTAAAGCACAAGTTTCATAAAACTCTTGAGAAATATTGTTTAAGTCTTCTTTACTATAAGTATCAAAAAACCAAGTTTTAAACTGGTTCCATTTATCAGTGAAAAATTCTTTTTGAATATAACCTCTAGCTTGTGACCCTGGACTAAAATCAATTTGGTGTGGAATCATTAAGTATCATTGGGGTCAAAATCCATTTCGGACGCAGAAGGAATATCCTTATTAGAAATATTATCACTATTCTGAACAATATTTATTTTGGGGTTAATCTTAACCCTTTCAACAGGTTTATCACCTACTTTAGTAGAAATTGTGTGTAAAGATGCAGCACGATTTCTAGCTGGTCCATAAACTGGTTCAACAGGAGAAATATGTTGAATATCAGGCAACAATCTACGATTAGTAAAGGAATGTCTATTATAATCAGAACTAATAGTAGGTAACAGTCTATTATTTGAAAATGACTGCCTACTATAAGTGGAACTATTAGTGGAATTATTATCGTCAAACTGAATGCAAATCCTACCATCCGGATTTTGAGTAATATGAGAATAGTCAGTATTACTGACAGCATCAATTATCTGACTGGGGGATATAACCGAATTCAAAGTCCATGTAGTTGGAAAATTAATTTTCTCCCACTTAATAGGTCTCCTCGTGGTGACCTTAGACTTTGCAAAATTCGTTTCCACTAGAATAGTTTGATCAGATGTATCATATAATTTACATCTAGGGTTTAACGTTGAAAGTAATTTAAAATAAATCCTATACGATAAACATATAAGTTCAGAACCAGGCGCATAATTATAACCATGCGTTTTCACATTTAATGTGAAAGCATCTAGTATATTAACATCAGACAGAGATAATTGCAGATTGGGTTGAGTATTAAAATATACTGGGCCATAGGCGACAATAGATTCAATAGAACCCATGAGAGACTGTCTAAAATTTAAATTTCTGGTATCTTTGAGAGCAGCCAAAAATGTCTCTGGTAACCCTTTAAGGGTTAAAGGCTTAAAAGCAATTTGAACCATACCAATATACAAATAATTATACTGGTGTTTATAAATATCTACATAATGCTTGTTTAACAAACGAATAGTCTGTTCAGACGAATTCAAAGCTAAAGATTACTCAGTCGTTTTAACAAGTTGTTTAGAAGAGAGTTTATCAAACCATCCATAATCATAGATTGTTCTAATAGGGACTTTAGGAATAGTCCATTTGTTTAACAAATCAAGGTTTTGAGGTATATCTACCTCTTCTAATCTAGTATTTTTCATACTAGTTTCTCCTAAATCCATATTTCAGTAACATATCTATGTCGAATATTTCATATCTATCTTATATATACCATGAAAGTACCTAGGCTCTGATACCATTTTAACAGGATCAAGTGGCGGGCGGTAGTCCGCCATGACTTCTCAATTAAATTATTAATAATAATAATAATAATAATAATAAAGGACAAGGGAAAGTGGGTAATAGGGTTTTATTTAGAGGATAAAAATGAAAAGAACCATATGCTAATTATCTCTCCTCCACACACATAAGTAAAAATTTCCCCTTTTTGGTTTTACAAGATTTTTTATAATAATATATGTAGTGGGTTATTTGAGCTCTAACTTTACTAAATGCATGTATATTCATTATTTCAGTTTTGACGGATATATATACTGAAAAAAATATCTATTCTATCTCCATTAAATTTATAAAAAATATTATTTTCTACATATATGAGTGTCTTTTAAAGTCGGCGCGCGAAGCGCGGGAAATTTTCTATTTAAACAATAATTAACAAGTATAACATCGATGTCAAGTAGGAACATGTAATAATTAAAGCATGTAACAAGAAATAATATAGAATAAATGAAGACATGAAAATATATAGCCCAATCCCGCATGCTAAATCCCATGACAACGCATATACACTCGTCACATCCCATATACGTTGTTTTCCCACATAATTCACATAACAAATAGTTCAACAAGTCCTAATTCCCTCAAGTCAAGGTTAGACACAACACTTACCTCTTTCTGCAATCAAATAATTATTCAACCACGACTTTTAATTTAGAACTAGCCTCCAAATCGGTCAAATCTAGCCAAATATAGTTCAAATAATTCAAAACAAGCTTTAGAAACTACCTACGAGTGAAAAAAATTCAATCTATAATAAATTTAAAAATAGTCAACAAAGGTCAACCCTAGGCCCGCTTGGTCAAAGCTAGAGATTAGGACCAAACCCAATTACTCATTCACCCCCGAGCTTGGTTATGTGATTTGTTTCGTAATTCGACTTCAATTTGAGGTCTAAATATCAATTTTGCAAAATCCATAAATTCTACCCAAATTTCTAATTTCTATCATTAAATTCATGGATTAAAGGTTAAAATCAATGGATGATTATGAAAATAAATCAAAAATCACTAACCAATGAAGTGGGGATGAAATTACTCCTCAAAATCGCCTCTAGGCCGAGTTCTAGCCTTCAAAATGGTGAAAAATGACCAAATCCTATTTTTTAACACTTTAAATATCTGGTTGTCAAGTGTTCTTCGCGTTCACGAAGCATCTGACGCATTCCCGATGCACTAGCCAATTGGCCTTCGCATTCGCGAGGTGCTCTTCGCACCTAGAAAGTGAGTAAAATGATCAATGGCTACAAGCATAGATACATGGGGAATTACACTCAAGTAACGATCCATTGTATTTCATGATTTTATTCTAAGATCTCGTGGGGTGAGTTTTGTTTAAGGATCATGGTGTTTTGGCAAGGAGAAGTGTCACCTTAAGGGTAATTCGGAAGGAACTCGAAGAAGTAGGACAGTTACATAGTAGGTTGGATCAGCACGGTAATGGGTATGATCAGTTCTTTGGGCATTTATGATGTGGTGAGTCTCTATAGGTGTTTCGTGGTAATGCACTGGGGTTTGGCGACCTACGTAGCTTGGTTGAGGTAGAGAGATTCAGTTCTGATGGCTTGGTTATGTGCAAATGGGTTTCGAAGAGTTCTCAATAGTTTCTACCACAGTTTGGGATGGATAATTCCTACCGGCGTGAGGAGCATGTTCCGTATTGTGATTTTTCTCTTGGATGGGGATCAAATGGAAGGTTTCTGACCGATTGAGTATGTATTCTGACGGTGACTCATAATGGATTATGAGATTCTCATACTTTTTATATGATGGCATGATGGATGCGATGTGTGTGGGGATTGAGATTTGTGTGTGCAAAGTCACAGTTCAATTTTAGAGGGAAGGTCATGAATTTTGGATAGCATGGACAGTTTCAGATATTTAAATAAGTGTTATAACTACTTGGTAATTCCTCAGAAGGGTGCGCATTTCATAAGGCGCACTATGTGTTAACTTACGAATGCTTCATTGGTATTGCGGTACTCGTATGGTTGACTGACTGTTGATATTTAGATTTTTGCTATGTGGCACAGAGGAATTTTAGAAGTATTCATTGTGGGATGATCGGGTATGAGAGATGTGTTAGACATTCGAGCGGTGGAGTTGGGATCAAATATGGTGATTCATGTGTTCTATGGACTTGGAGACCAGGAATTCTCAGAAATAAATTGTTTCGTGGTTATGAAATGCGAAGATGTGGCTAAAGCTAGCCAGATATTAGTATGTGTTATGGTTCAGTTATTGTGGACTTTCGTAGGGTTATGTATCTATTTGTGGGTGACCAGGGTGGATATGGGGTCCATTGGCAGGCTCAATGAGGATGTGTATTCTACATCGAGTCGGATTGGTTGACTTCGTACTGCTGTTGTTGAGGGATTTGCCATTCGGGTAGAGTTGAGCTTATTTGTGTTCTGAGATGTTCTATGAGTTACATTTCTATGCTACGAGGGGTTGGGATCCGTTGGTTATAGGCCCACATGGTGCAGTCCAATTTGGGCCTTGTGGCGGAATTTGAGCGAGATGGATATTAGGGTGTTGGATGATTGATTGCGTATTTGGTTATGTTCTTTCCAAACTGTGGTATTGTGTTATTGGTTCCTCCGTGGTTATGGTCATGCACCTTGGGTACATGATGTTAAATTGCATGTAGTTGTTGATTTTGAGCATGGTGGCTTGAGGTATTCATATAGGTCGTGTTTGGATGGGGTCACGCATTGCAGCGAAGTTATGTTGAGATACGGTCCTTTGTGTTAGATTCGTGTGTTATGGTTCTACGATGTGTGATGGGTTTCTAGCATTGCGTTATGGTGGTACTTGTTGAGCTTGCGAGACGGTTCTCTCATTGGAGTCATTTTCTACGTTTGATACATTTCAATTGTTGCGTATTGGTGCATGGATTGCACGGTTTGTGGCTTTGGGTAGTATTGGTGTGGCATGTTAGTAGAGTAGAATAAGGTTGTCGAATCTAGAATGGGTGCTATCGGAATTGATTGCGGTATATTTGGAATAATAGTGTCGTTGATCAGCTTAGAAATTTGCGATAGTTCTTGTCGAAGGAGATAGAGCTCTATGACTTGTTGATTTGATGAATGGTTATGAGTTTCTGCATGTTTCTTTCATCATCGGCAGTGTGCAAAGGTTTTAGAACGGGGTTTTGTTTGATATGAGGTTTATAACCGGTATTGGGTTATTTTGAGCAGCTACTGTGATCGCAAATTTTGCTACAAGTATGCGAGTCATGTGGTAT